TTAATACATTATTTCAAGTATAACAAGCAGAAGGACCTTATTAACACCATTAAAACAACCGCGCGAGTGAGCGCGCACACACACACACACACACACACACACACACACACACACACACACACACACACACACACACACACACACACACACACACACACACATATACATACACGTAAAAATTTGTGTATGCAGTAATTTCGCAAAAATCATTCTGAGCCTAACGAAAAACTATATTTCATTGTGTCTGTTTATTATTAAATTACTGTAAACTTATCTAAAATATATTTAGTTGGATTAGGCTAAATTAAATTGCGCTTGTTATAATAAGGTTAGGTAAGTTTTCTAATGTTCTTTTGGTACAAAATTATTCATTTTTACATTAACATAAATGAAAAATATATCTTTAAACGTACAAGAGATAATTTTAGAAAGGACTTAATTTTAAATGAGTTCTTGCTAATTGACTAGTTTTACCTATTCGGCACGACACATATATATACCAAAACTCATAAACTAATCGAAAGAGAATAAACAAAAAACTGCAATGTAGCCAAGAGACGGAAGACGCAAATGATAATTAGAGAGGCAGGAATGCCAGGGATAGCGGATCAGGAAACGGATGACTGAACTGATATAAACAGTCGTTTGTCAAGATTCGAATCCACGAACGCGGGGCGGATCGACCAGAGGAGACAGTTGTGGCGCCACGGATGCCACCAGACCTCCTATATCCCCCCCTCACACGGCTCAGCTTCTCATAGCCCTTAAATACAACAACAACACAAGAATGCAGGTTGATTTGCTTGATTTGGAAAGAGTGGGAACGAATGAGTATAACGTACGTATCTTGAAGAAGAATATAAAAATGAACAAAAGAAAAGGGAAGAAGAGAAAAGAGAAGAATGAGGAGGAGTAAAAAAAGTAAGAAAGAAAGAAAATGAAAGGGAAAAACATTGACTTTAATTAAGATGACTGGCTCTTACATTACCCGTATTTAGCGTCACTCACACTTTCAAGCATTTCCTTAATAAAACTCAGGTATGTCAACAGTATGCTGCTGCTCCACATGCCAGTTATGTTTTGGGAACAAAAGCTCGCTATTCTGCCCTCCCTTGCCCAGCTCTTCCCTGCCTTGCTACATCATCAGGATGTTTCACATGCATAGAATAACGCAGTCTGTCAGCCTGAGCCGGGAGTCCTCAGTAGGTTGATGAGGATGTTGCCAAGCATTGCATTGAGGATTATTCAACTACGACAGCTTTAGAGGTTGGCCAATAGGTGTACTCTTCCACCTCACATAGCTCCTGTATATGCCCTCTGTGTCTTTGCATTCTTTGTAACAGCTTGAGAAAACTCCTGAAGAGCGAAACGTTGCCGCAATAAAATGTCACATTGGTTGTACATGTGTCCTGGAGCTGATGTTACAGTTAATAAACCATACCCCCGGCCGGGATTGAACCCGCGGTCATAGAGTCTCAAAACTCCAGCCCGTCGCGTTAGCCACTAGACCAACTAGCCACAATAAGATTCATCCAACTAGGTATATTTCTACACCATAGGAAAGTTAGCACAGGCACCTCTGTGACCACAAATGCAAGTTTTTACAGACGAATCTCCAGCTAGCGTGGCCGTGACGAACTCTAGCTCAAGTCCCTTCACTGCCGTCAACATGACTCAAGAAATCGTAATGACACGATTGCAAATAATGCACGATTTGCAATCGTGTCATTACGATTTCTTGAGTCAAGTTACAGTTAATACAAGTCGAGATGATAAGGGGAAGATGTATACACGTGCATACGTGTAAAGATGTGCTCACAGGTGACAGCATATTTGGGTGAACACACACGAGGTTCTCTTTGGTTTTGCCTGGAGTTCAGTCCTCGGCTGGCAAAATGGAATAATGGAATGAATTAAGATCAACGTGTTACAACAATTGGAATTTGTTTAGAATGCCGAGAAATACGAAGAAATAATTACTGAAGGTACACAAGGAGCATAGTTTTGCTCCTGTAAACACACACACACACACACATACACACACACACACAACACACACACACACACACACACACACACACACACACACACACACACACACACACACACACACACACACACACACACACACACACACACACACACACACACACACACACACACACACACACACGCACGCACACGCACACGCACACCCACACGCACATACACACACGTGTACACTCATACACAGCTTCTGGGTGTTCAAGAAATGGCTAAACAGGGTGTGATGGAAGCTTACACCATACACAGTTTGAAGGACAAGCACGACAGGGCCCATTAGGGAAGAAATTAGTGGGAATTGTGGTACGCATTTAAGAAATGAAGTCAGGAGCTGAGACTATTCTCTCGGCTACAATTAGGAGAAAAACAACTTGGCGAGTGTAGATGAGTACAAGGTGAATATAATTAGGAAAATGCATCTAGGTGAGTACAAGTAGGTGAACACCTAGGAGAACAACTAGGTGAGTACAAGTAGGTGAACACCTATTAGGAGAACAACTAGGTGAGTACAAGTAGTGTGAACACCTAATTAGAGACGAACAACTAGGTGAGTACAAGTAGTGGAAATCTATTAGGAGTCCAGTAGTAGTACCAGTTCCTAGTAACAGTTACCAGTAAACCATGGCACTAGTAGATGACTCACTAACCGACTATTGAATCACTGACTAGTTATTCATAGTGCTGACATGACCATAGTGATTTCAAACACAACACCTTAGAGGCACTGGTGGGTCAGTCTAAGATAGGAAGCAGAGAG